TTGAAAAATTGAAAAGAGCCAGCCAGCCCTATAGGCCTCCGTAGTGGCCAGGGACTTGGCGGCGTGCGTGGCGAATGCCCCGCAAATATAGTGAGGGTGAAGGCTGAACGGTCAAGGCTGAAGGCATTGGGGGGGGCAGCTGGATTGGCCGGACATGCATGCTGGGGAGGAAGACATTGCCAACCACAGCCCCAACAACTATGAAGGGATGAGATCACTGCCTACCTAGATATGGGTATGCATCGCAGATGGCGGCGACTGCCTGCGGCCCTCGTGACTGCTTCACCCCGGTTTGACATCAACCCACCACCAGCCCCTCAACACCTTTCCTTCAAGGCCCAAGCCACCTGTACTGGTACTTGTCAACGAAATGGGATGGAACGCTAATAAACTACGAGTAGCTGGGAATGAATGTACGAAGTAGACTAATGCTGTCCACCGCTGTCTGTAGGAACTAGTAGTGGCAAGCAAGCAATGGGACAGAATGACGGCTAGGAAATTCCTCGATAAATGGTTTCTACACTATTATGTTTTCTTTGTGTGATGGCTGAGGGGGCATTCAATGTACTACCGGTACATATAGGAAGTTAGACAGGTGGATGGGAAGAGGCAATAATGAATGTACAATGATGATAGCATGTCATGAATCACTCGCTTGCTTGACAACACTCTCATCGCTCCCAGCTAGCTAGCGATATAATCAATCAGACTAAAACCGATTTGGCCTCCTGTCTTGACATCCCAGATGACTACGAGATACTCTTTGCGCGAGGCGGCGGCACAGGACGGTTCGGTTGGTGCAACTCCTTTCCCCTCGTGGTCGTGACGTGACTTGGGAGCATTACCAAGAGAGCCTTCCGAGACAATGCTTCTTCAGCTCTTTATTCGTCCTAAAGAGTAAAAACTGACACCAAAACGTCGCAGCTGCTACAGTGTACAACTTTGTTTGGCGCCTGGGTTACCCGCAAGTTGCAAGACATCCTTGGGGATAGTGAGTGCGATCCCACCGACTCTAAGGCGATCGAGCAACTCAAGAAGGCCGTCGACAAGGATCTCAAGATCGATTATTGAATCACCGGCAGCTGGTCACATAAAGCGTCAGTTTAGGCCGAGCGGCTTTTTGGCTCAGAGCATGTCAATATTGCAACAGACAGCCGTAAGACGAACGGCGGTAAGTTTGGCACCATTCCAGATGAGAGCACCTGGAAGCTGTCCAGTACAAGGATCCTGCCTTGGTGTATTTTTGTGCAAATAAAATTGAATTTCATAGTCTACCCAGATAGTATTAAGGGTCGCCACCATTGAGCATATCTCGTTATATTCTCCATTACCTGACTACAGGTGGTGACAAAGCCTAGGCATCTACTATGGAAGTATACCTACCTAGGTATCTACGAGTTTGGCTACCTAGGTAGATTGCCTTGGTCAGCTTTGTAGAATACCTGGGCGCAATTATGTTTATGTATAGCACCCTCTGGGCCCATGTATCACCTCCGAACGGTATGCCGCGGTAAACTCTAATTGGGAGATTCCACGGATCAAGGTAGCGCTCCCACAAGTGGCAGCCTGCCTACCTACCTAAGTACCTTCGGGCTCAACCAAAACCAGCAAGCCACAGTCCACGATCTCTTCGCCCGGCCGGCATATCCAATGCCACGAACAACGACATCGCGATGCCATCGGGGCTGGAGCAGCCTGAACGCGTGCATGCGCCGACGCTATTCCCACCCATACCATACTCCGAGTCCTACTTGTAAACGCGCGCGAGCCCAGACAATGCACCCATCCCGCGTCTTCTGGTAACAGAGGAAGCACAGCGTCCGTGGCCAGACTCGGCTTGGACTTGGCATTGATGGAGGTCCGAAGAAGAGACTTCTCGTCGAGCTTTGAGCCTTGGATACGGTGCTTCTACTGCCACGGGTGAACACAACGGAGAATAAGAGCTTCCAAAGCTAGGAATATCTGTCTGCGGCGACTGCGACATATACACGGGAACAGCCTCCTGGAATTGATGATTGTTTAAAGCTCCCGAGACTATTCACTTAACTGCCGTCCTTCTATCATTTTTGATCGGATGCAAGCTGTCTGCGATGGACGATCACCTAACTACCACACTAATTATTTGTAGGATCCATGGAAAGAGCGTCGGCGAATACTAGTACATTTCCCTTTATATTAGTATGGACAGCAAGACATAAGACCCCCACTGACTAAGCGGGGAAACGATGGTTGCGCTTGTTCTTGGGATGGTGGCTGACAGATGTGGTTTCATCAGGATCTCGGTGAGCTGGTGAACTTGCCCAAAGTAGATATAGAGACTACACTCCTTGGTCAAGTCAAACTGCGCTCGCTGCATGTTCGCCGATGACAGTTTCGGCAACCCTTGGACGTCTGGTCTGGACCTTGCTTCACGCTGCAAACACGATATGGATCGAGCACTATTTCTTTGCTAGCTAGGCCACCGAGAGAGGGCTCGTGAAGCTAGTCTATTGTTCTGCTGTGACAAAAGAGAGCCC